TTTGAATCAGCTCCGAGTACGACGATCTCTGGTGGGGTTTGGAGGCCACAGCACAAGAGAGAGGCCGCAGCCGCCGTTGCTGGCCTCTGTCAGCTTCCTGTTGCGCTGGAACTTCGCGGCGTTGTCCTGGAGCACGCGGAAGTGCGTGGCCGGCTTGCTCCACATCCTCGGGCGCCGCGTGCACCGCCTGAACGCTTGACGCGGCGCACCGCCCCCTCAGAAGCGCCTGCTCCAGCCCAAACTCGCCCCTCGTCCGTGGTCGCCACGCAGTTGCTTTCCTCCTGCACCAGCTCGGGATCAGCTCCCGCGCTACCGTCTCCGCGTTCCGCCTCTCTGGTGAAGACGTCCGTCACCACCAGCCCGCGCTTGTTCCTGCTCCTGTTGTTTTGACTTAATTAAGTCGATCAGGTCGGCCTGTTGGGCCCTTGGCCGCGCTCTTTGCCCAGGGGCCGGCTTGGGCCAGCACCTGCCTCGCCACGTCCTGCGCCAGCGCCGTGCGCGCCCTCTGGAAGGTCAGGTCGCGGTTCTCGGGAACTCCCGCCGCTGATACATCTTCCGCGCCCCCCGCACGCCGAAGTCCTCGGCCAGGCGTGTTTTTGCGATCGGCCCCGCTTCTTTCCCTTCTTCTCGAGCGCCTCCACGCACGCCTGCAGCTTCTTGCCATTTGGGAACCGCTCGCGCAGGAAGTGGTTCAGTGCGATGCATGCTCGTTTCCTGTCGGATGCTTTCGAAATGGCTGGGGAATTGCCTCCCGTGAGCATACAGTCCCAGGGTGCAGTGACCCCGCGCCGATGCCCCGCTGGCGCCCCTGATGCTTCCGTTGTGTGGACGACACGTCCAGCAGCCGGACGACGTTTGACTCGGAGGGTCGCTCTAGGACGGCCTCGCATGCAGACGAGAGCTCCGGATTCATTTTTTATATGTTTCCATTCATTCGGTCTCGATGCCAAAGCAGAAGCATCTCTGGATGCTCAATCCAAGGGTTTGGATGTCCACCACTGCGGCGGCGTTTCGATCGGAGGGGTCCTTCACGCAGGTCGGCCTGCAGCCGGTCGTTAAGCCCCCTCCGCCGCGCTCTTGCCCAGAGGAGCTAACACCACGCCAGGTCGGTCCGCAGCGCTTCCTGCAGGGTGACGGCGCTCGCGGTGGGCAGGCAAAGCACTCTGCGGGCCTTGGTCGACAGCCCCTCTGGCAGCGAAGGGCGCCGGCGGCAGCTGCGCCATCCCGCCGCACGGGCCAGAAAGCACGATCATGCGGAGCATGCGCCCAATGAACTCTCTCTCGACCCCTTTAAGCACGCGGTGTCCAGGCGGCGTTCGAATGAGGCGCGCGCGTCCTCGACAATGCTGGCCACGCACTTGTGCAGGAAGTAGGTCTCGGCCAGCGGCTCATCGTCAGGGCCACTGGGACCTCAACCTCTTCAGCCGGCCGCAGCACCTCCATCTGCAGCTTGACTTTCAAGAAAAAGGGAAGCTGCAACCGCAGCGTCGCATCCAACCAGGGACGCCGCGCGCGAAGGTCGCCGATGCCCATCCGCACGTCCGGGCCGCGGGGTTCCAGCAAGAGCTCCTGCAGCCAGAAGCTCTCGCGTTTCTATTTCTTTCTATAGCTGCGGACGGAGGCACGGACGAGCAGAGTGACACATCTGGACGGACTTCACACACATGACTCAAACAGGGTTTTTTGCGAAAGTTTCGCCCTCCATAGCGGCCCTCACCAGCAACATGTCGAGGCAGCATCAGAAAAACCTGCATAGCCTTCATCGCCTTCGTGGCCTGGTAGGTCAGTGGCCTAGCTCGTGTAGAAAACTACGTCCTTGATGCTTTACGTTGCCTCGAGGGCAACAGGTTGTTTGCAGAAAGTGTAGCGAAAAAGGTATGCTTGCATCAGGCAGCTACCCAACTGATGCGTGTGTCAAACTTGCTCGTGCAACTTGTTGGCAGTACATACAGAAGTGGCACGTACTGCTTTGACGAGGTATCTCTGAATGCATTGGGCTTCTTGCTTGCTATATCCTGTCGGCACCACTCCAAAGCGTGTCACTCATGAACTCGGCGCACTACCGCCTGAGGCTTTCGAAGCACTGGCGGACATTTGCACACACATTGAAAAAGTCGGCCGATGGCCGCGGCAATTGCTACATGGTCAAATCATTGGGTTACCAAAACCCGGAAAGGTTAGCGAAGGTCACATCCGTGTCAGGCCGATCTGCATACTACCCATGCTCATCAGGGCGTGGGGCAGCCTCCGGTATCGTCATCTGAACACGTGGATGCGGGCCTGGCTTCCCAAAGAGCTGCACGGTGGATTACCCGGACGCTCCACCCTTACCGCTACTACCCCAGTTCTTACAGCTATCGCCAGAGCGCAGGTTGACCATGAGCCTTTCATCGGCGTTAGCTTGGACTACACTGCTTGTTTTGATCGTATCGACGTTCAGCTAGGGGTTGAGCTGCTTCAACAGCTCGGACTTCCAGACTGCATTGCAAAGCCGCTATTGTTCATGTATGCTAACATGCAACGTACCTGCAAGGTCGGTGCTGCCAACTCCGACTTTTTCCACGCACACACGGGCATAATACAAGGCTGCAGTATGAGCGTCCTCATGTTAAATGCCATTATGTCCGTATGGGTGTGGTGGATACGCAATAAACTTGGGTCCCGCTCGCTCAGAGAGGTAAAGGTTCTCCTAAGCATCTATCTTGATGACCGAAACATCGTCAGCAAATGCGCACGCACACTGGCAAAAATACTTAGCTTAAGTAAATCCTTTGATGAGCTCATCAATAGTGTCTTGAATACTAGGAAATGTCAAATCTACGAGAACAGCAGAGTTGATGCGACATGTGTCCAACAGGTTCTACCTGGAGCATCACTCACACACCACGCTTGGACGCTGGGGTACAACGTGCAAGCCGATGGGAATGATGTTTCCCAGGAGCTCGAGAAACGGTATGACAAAGCCATCGCCACCGCGCGTCGTGCGGCTGCACTGCCACAAGACATGAGGGTTAAAGTTCTAGAAGCCACCTTCACTGCGCAGTGGGCTTACGGTGCCTTCGTCACACCTCCCCACCCTACCCAAGCACACAACCTGCAAACTTGTGTTGAGCATGCCCTCGCAGGCAATCGCCGTAAGGGATGGAGCCCTGCGCTTTTTTGGACGGTTGTCTATAAAGGGCACAGATTTATCCCCAAATACGTCGTTTTACTCCAAAGTGTCGCCTTTCTCCGCGCTATACTGCAAGGAGAAGGATCTGCCGTTCAAGCTGATGTTGAACACATCCGCCGACACCTTGCGCGCCACCATCTCGCTGACACAGACATTGATTGCTCCCCTTTTCACGTTCTTCAACGATCCCTAACCCAGGTGGGCGGGAAATGGACCGCACTACACACCATCACCCTCCCCCATGAAAGGGGTGATGAGGTGCTTGACTTGAAAAACACCCCTAAAACTGCACTTCAGCATCAGCTGCGTGAGTTCTGCAGACGTCACATCATCAACACGCTGGGGCGCCCCGGCTGGCCAATTCCTGCTGACATCGATTACTCAAGCACGCGGGCATTGCTGACCTCCCCTACTTTTAGCTTCCTCGACAGAGGTATTCTTCGCACACTTCTCATGGGAGCACTGCACCCGGAGATCCAATCAGACCAAGTAGGGGCTGCCCGCATTCTGTGTGCTAGATGCCACGTTGAAGCAGACACTGCTGGACATAGATTCTGGAGGTGCCCTGCCACCCAGGCGCTGAGGAATCAGATGTTCCCTAACGGTATACCCCTCCGCGCGCCGGTTGTGCTGACACGCTTTGGAATGAGCATTCCAACCGTCTAATCCGCTGGCCGCGGATGCCTTCCTAAGCAACATTTGCCGAAGCTCAACGGGTTCAATGACAGGCAGCTCGCACTTACGCTTGCTAAGTAAGTGTCCGCATTGTGCAAAAAACTGCGTGCGCTTGTTGCTATCTGGTTTCGCCTGGAACTGCTCACGACTTCTGCGTAAGAGCTCGTCAGCCATGTGCTGGGGATGAGCGGTTGGTCCGCTTGGCGTATCATGCATGGCAAGGGCCGGAGTTTCCCCTTTCACCCAGCGGCAAGCCGTAGCGAGATTAGAGGTAACTCGTTCTTGCCAAGCTGCAATACGCCTATGTTTAGCAAGTGTTTCATAATCAGCACGAACTTTGTCGAGTGTGATTTGCAATGCCTGCGTATCGGAGAAATCAAACCCATCAGGTAGCTTAACAAGGTCGCTGAAAGCATCCCTTATCTTAGACCCGAGAGCTTGGGATTCGGCGGGTTGCAAGGCGTTGGAATGTTGAATGGTTTTGAGGCGGGTGATGCGCAACTGCGTTTTTGCAATGAGGTTTTGTTTATGCTGCCTGCATGGCGAAGTTGTGGCACAAATAGTTCGTGTTTGGAAGCCTGGTGTACTGCCTTTGGGGCGATCAGCAAGGAGACCAGTGGCATTGCTGAGTGCGTTTTCAGCAGTGCGGGTCCAGATGGCCCACATGTTATCCACATCACCCTGAAGGCGTGCATTTGTCCAATGCTGCTGCTCATTGTTGAAGATAGCACTCCACGACTGTTGGACGGACTCGGTTTGGTCCTTGGTTGGTAGGTCATGTCAGTGGGGGCGTTTAGGCGCAGGCCTACGGCAAAGTGATTAATCAGAGGTAAGTCTTTGACAATGAAGACTTCAGAAACAATGGGCTGCGCAGCCGCATTTGCGAGGAAATAATCCACACGGCGGCCTTGGGTTCCTGCGCGGTGCGTGGTAGGTGCTTGGGCAACGTCAGTGGCTGTAGGGTCGCCATTATTGGCTAGAAGTACAGCGGCGTCAACCCAGTAACCTGTGCTGATGGCTTCTGCTACCGCTCGCGACTCAGATGCTTCAACGTTCCAGTCAGCACCGATGATGATGGGCACATCTCCCAGTGAGGCAGCATACCGGAACAAGGATTCTCGTAGTGTTTCGCACGGTTTGGGGCAGTAGGCTACAATCACGTGAACCGAAAAGTTATTGTCTATGGGGATAACCGAATGCAGTGCATCATCCGCAGATAGAGTTGCTACCGGGCATTGTGTGGCCACAACATCCGGCGCCGCAGTTCTGTTGAGGATAGCCACACCGCCGTCATTAGGTCCACCTCCGGATGCCTTGGGCGGCCTGGGCTGACTACAACAAATGTGGTAACCCTTGTCCCGGGCTTTATGCTTGACCAGTTTGGTGTCTTGAGCAAGCCGGGTCTCCGTGACCATGATAGTGTCAGCCCCGTACGCTGACGCAACCGCGTACAGTTCATCACCGTGCTTCCGAAGAAAGCTGACATTGGCCAGGAGGACAGTGTGAGAAGTTGGTGTACAAGCAGGCTCCTCCTCGGCGGGGGTGGCGTGGGATGCTTGGATGGGCGGTGTATGGTTATCGTCCGCAGTGCCAGCAGCGACTGCAGTGGGCGCTATGGGGTTGGGGATTACGGGGACAAGAGGTTCAAAGTGCTTCCCATCCTGATAATCAAGACGCCATACTGGGCAGTTTGTATTGTCTTCTGGATGCAATTTGGCAATGCGTTTGTACGTGGTGCCCTCTTTGACATACACTTCAAGGATGACCTTAAGCAGCCTAGCAAGGATTTGGATTTCCAATATGCCAGGCCAGATATCACCTTTGCGAATGGCCTTGACGTAGGCCTGCCATGGGAGACCTGTGTCATGAAGGGCCCATGTCTTGTGCGACTGGCCGTTCCATACTAGCTGTCCTGTGCTTAGAGCCATGGCATCTGCTGCAGTTTGTTGACGGAGCATATGGGCGTCAGTATGCGCAAACATGGCGAGTGAGTGGAAGAGGCACAAGCCGTCCCCTGGGACAGCAGTTGGACCATAGGCTTCAGTCTCGAGACGAAAGCCCCCTCTGGTAAGGCATCCAGAGTGAGCAGGGACATCAACCTCAGTGTTGCCCCCACCTCTCTTCAAGGATGAACACTTTGGGGTAGTTTGGCTTTCGTTCCTTGGTAGTTACACTTAGTGCACTGTATGGTGAAGCCTGAGAGGTACTGTAGCTTATGCCCAGCATGCGGGCGCTTAACGAACTGTTTGAGATTGTGGATGCGTGCCGCTTTGACTGCGGCGAGCCTAGCCTCTTTAGCCTCTGACATGGGTTTGCTAACCGCTTCTGGGTCGCGGGGATCCTTATCAGGATGTTCATTTTGCAGATGCGTGGCTTTGAGCCGGCTGAGAGGGGCATCATTGCGATGACGAGGTGTGCCACGGATAACGAAGTCACACCAGGGGCACGGCCACCACACCGGCTCGGCTTGTTGCGAAGAGTGACTAGCCTCCGTACCTTCCGCACCTTCATCCGAAGGACCTAGTTTTGGAGGATCTGCGCTGTGAACAGGATTTGGCGACGCTCCTGCGGACATATGTGCAGGGGCTTTGGGCATGGTGGCACTATGCCTTAACCGAGTAGGGCTAAGGATAGGGGTTTCCGCCAACCTATCAGGTGATAGGGTGCGGCTATCGTCAACATGATGCTGACAACATTGCCTTTGGGGCTGTCGTGGTGCGTGTGATTGTACCTGCGGGGTTGCCTGGAGCTCTTCGTCTGCAGGATCCCTAGCAGGCATAGAGTGACAAATACGTGTTTCGTCACATGCATGTGTTGGGGTGCCAGCCACACCCTGCGGATTGTGCGGAACTTGTGCCCCCGGCATGCTTAACCTAATTGGGTCGAGCCTTGCAGTGTGCTCAAGGCTATCAGCGCGGCCACTGCTGACAACCGGCGTTCAGGCCTGCGGTGGGGGGGTTGCGGTTGCGTTTTGATTGGCGAGCAGCTGTTGCATCATGAGCATAAGCTGGGACATCTGGGCCTTCAGTCCATCAACTTCCTCACGCAGTGGGGGTTGGCTGTTGCGCTGCGTGGGCACAGGCGAACGGCTGCGTGCATGACTGGGAGGAGCTGGGGTCGGTACCTCAATCTGTGGCGCGGTCGCCTGGGCAGGAGCTGCTACTTCAATCTGTGGCGCGGTCGCCTGGGCAGGAGCTGCGTGCGCGTGCGAAGCGTTGTGGGTTGGGGAGGGGGTCTCTGATTCCTCTACCTCCATGTGCTCTCCTAGGGCCTGTGCCCAAGTGCCTGCAGTGGGTGCTTGCATCCCATGTGGCTTGGGCATGGCGCAGGGTGTGGGTTCTTCCTTCTTTATGGCTAGGGCATACTGGTCCAGGAACACAACCACTGCAGTTGGCGGCTGTGGTGCTTTGATAACCCACTTTTGGTAATCACCTCGGCCCTTGCGAAAGAGCAATTTGGCATTAGCAATGTCAGGCCAGGGTGTGTCTGTGGTAGCAAGACTGGTAAAAAGCTCAACCGGGCTCCAATCCCTCGGTACGCCTGCAATTTCATACCTGTCACCGGCGGTGTATGGCATGTCTGTAGCTAGCGGTGCTATCGCGGCTGCATCTTCTTCCAACACCCGAACAGCAAACCCTTTCGGGGACCACGCGAGGCCTTGGACTTTGTTCTGGGGCAATGCGAGATACTTCTGCTTAGCCTGCTGCAGCACTTCTACTTTCAACCAAAGGTTGACAAGTTTCGGTGTCTTATCCGTGCAGTCTTTAGAGGTGTAGTACCTCGCAAAAACCATGGATGCCTGAGTCCCGGAATGCTTGATCAGCGGCACTGCTAGTGAGGTGGGCAACCTCACATAGGCTGCGATTGCGTTGGTCTTGCCTTCCCGCGTGAGCGGAATGCATTTCTTGATTTTGTGGTCAGACCACTCAGTGTTGCTTACATGCTCTGTCAGGTACTGCTGCATGGCACAGGAAGCGTTGGTCGCGGCTCGTTGCCAATCTTGTTCGTTGGCAAAAGCTGACCGCACCACTTCTAAGACAATTGTGCACATGGCTTGGGTTTTGGGGGCCTGCCCTTTAGCTACAGGGGGATTGCATGCAACCTTGCGGGTACCACATTGCACAAGCCGCCTTGTCTGTTGCAAGATCTGCCCGTCTCTGGTTACCCAAACTGTGATGACCGGCCATTCTGACCCATCTGCTTGCTTACTAGCTTCAACTTGTGGGTGTACCAGCATTGCAGTAGCAAACGGTGGGTTTGCCAGCACTGGGGATTTGGTGAGGTAAGCACTTTTACTGACTAGCGCAATGCCATCCTTCCCATATTCCAACTCGTCTTCGCGGCAGACTGGGACGCTCCAGTGGTTCGCACACAATTCTTCTTTAAGTGCACGTTGGTGGCCCTTGGGTTCCTTGGGACCGGGGCGCGGAGCTGGGTTGGGCTTAGGACCTTAGGAGGCTTATCATGATTCTCGGGGCCCTTGGGCTGGGGTGTATTCTGCTCTGTGGCCTGTGTCTTGGATGGCTGCGTCTTCTTCTTTTTCTTAGGCTGCTGTTTGCCCTTCCCCCCGCCCCGCAGCAGGTGGGTGTGGGCTAGGTTGGCAGACACCTCAGAGTGGAGGGATATGGTGTCATCATCTGATTCTGGGGATGTCGGGCAGTCACTTCTATCATTGAGCATTACATCTGTCAACCCGGGTGTCTGTGGACGCCTTGTTAGAGCACTGCTACTCATCACAAGGCCGCGGAGCCCGGACTCGTGGCACGGTAAGCAGGCGTCCTCCGAGGTGCCTGCCGCCGCGCTCGCCTTCGTGGCCTTCATGACCTTCATTGCCTTCATGTTGGAACTGTTTCTGGCATCGAGGCCAGAGCATCGCTGAAGCGGGCACTATAAAAACGCCCCACACACAACATCAGTCAACCCCATTGAAATCACAAAGGATTTTGCAAGTAACGAAGAATTGGCTACATCTTGCCCTTCATTGCCTTCATGGCATTCCAGCTGGGGAGGGCTGGGACGGCGCCACGGCGCACTGACCCAACTGCAAGCGCGTCAATAGATTTCGATGGGTCTTCATTGCCTTCATGGCCTTCATCGCCTTCATGGCCTTCCTGCTGGGGCGGGGCTGGGACAGCGTGCTGGTGCACTGGAATTTCCGTGAGCTCAAGCAATGTGGCTACTCCCCCCCCACCTCCAGAAAGCTCAAGCAACGTGGTCACTCTCGCTTCTCCAGCGAGGAGGACTGCACGCATGGCACATTTTGTAATCATCGACCTATCACTGCACACCCATCTCCTCTTCCAAAGCTAATCACCCCTCCCGGCTTGCAAGCGAAACCTATGCCAAAACACACCGATCAGCAAGGTCTCACATTGGATTCGACACTAGTTGATGTACGGCTGCTTTTGACATGAACATCTCGCCGCCCGTCAGCTCGTGCATGAAATTTCTCCGCACTTTAATCCGGACACCATTGACAAGCAGACATTCTCCATGCCATATCTTTCGTGCATTAGAACATGCCAAATCTCGATTCCCGCCCCACCCGCAGGAGACACCCTCCATCAAACTGCAGCAGCAGTGTCCGAGGGGAAGTCGCGCATGTAAGCTGTTAAATGCTGAGGCGGGGAAAAAATACCAGGGCAACAACGTGTGCATGCAGCTGACCGCAATGGCATGCCTTAAATTCGAGCTTCACGGAATCAAAGATGGCCAATAAAGGGGGAAGTGGGGCCCAGTGGGGTCTTGAATGGCCGCCGTAGCCCCTATGCATAGGGCGGGTAGCGGTTCTGAGCGGAGCAGTTCTGCCGGTATGCCAAGACGTGCCAAGACATGGCGTGTAGAAAACACTGATGTGCGCGGCATAGAGCTGAATGTGAGCCATTGAACTTTTTGGTGCACGGTAAGGTCAACACTCATGATACCCGATACCCTACCCCGAGTCTCCCAGTTTAACATTCCGGCTATCCTGCATCGGACTTCGAACGCAGACTGCGCTTGTATCCTGCTGTGCGTAAGCTCGCGAGATTTGGTGAAACGAGTACATGCTTCCAATTCTGGAAGGGTCGAGTCACGTCGAGTCTCAACCCGGGCAACTCACCATCAGTTTTGGCATGCCTGTTGGGAGGACCTTAAACGTCGGCATCCACAAAACAAAACAAAGCCCACACTTTCGCCTGCAACGCACTGCAATGTCTGCAAGGTACCCTGGCGAAGCTTGGTCCCGGGCCCAGTCACTATGCAAGAACGCAACAAGCCTCGAGCGATGATAAGTTGCAGGAAAAGTTGTCCAAGCACCCAATTTGCTACCAAGAAGCTTGCTTCCCTCCTCCTTGTGAGACGGGCTGCTCCTCGCAGGGCATGACCGCGAGACTGTGTATCGGGATCCCTCTGTTTAGCTTTCGGGTAGAGTGGGGTATGCCTACGGTATGCCTCTCAAAATTAGGCTTCTGTCGACTCCATCTTTAGCTCAGGACTGTCCTGGGGTACAAAGCCAGCCCCCACCAGCTCTTGTTCGAGCTCCCTCGCTTGCAAGCAACGCTCTTCCCACAACCTAGCAAATCTGCTAGGAACATCTCGTGCTCGTGCAGAGCCACAGAGCCTCTTGCACCACCCTCGCCGTCTTGTCAGAGATGGAGCCGGTTTCGAGGTCGATTGCCTAGTCGAGAGGGCAGAACGACGCCACGAACACTCTGAGCTCGTGGTGCCTCCTCGAGCTCCATCGCCAAGTCGTGCAGCTGCGTAGCAGCTACGAAAGAAGAGGATCCCATCACCTCGAACATGAGTATCTTCAACGGGGTGGGGTGCAATGTGATGTGCCTGCTGCGCAGCTTCCTGCAACCGGTTAAAGTCCTTGCTCAGGAGCGCCTCGAATCGAAGATGTGCCGCATCGGCTCTCGCTGAAATCTATGACCATTACTGATGCTCGTGCCTGCTCCATGTCGCACACTTTCCGCCGCAGATCCTTGAGCAAAGAAGCTGCACTCGACAAGCTTCAAGTCTGGTCAAGTCAAGCACTTTGTCGCTTCCGATCAGACTCCCGATCACTGCCCTTCCACATCAAAGTCCCGACGAGTGTCTGCGGGATATTCTGCAAGAAATGCTCGAAGCTGCTCCTCTCGCTGGTGATTCCCCATTGCCCTGGCAGGAATCTGAAAGAATGAGCACTGCTGGCAGCCCTCGCATCACAGACAATTGACCAACGACCAGTCATGGGCATCTTTGCTTTATTGCACATGACATTATTGTAGCATCATACAGCATGCATGCCCAGACGCATCAAGTACCGAACCAGTACAGCGACCCAGAAGCAAACCCAGTCAGCCAGTGTTTGTCGCTCGGCATGCTGACATTGGTTGTTGAAGTTTCGGCTATGTCTGCTGACTCTATGAGATCTAATGAGATCTATGAGGCTTGGGACATTGCTGGCTTTCGCGATTCCCAATCAGGAGCCGGTCTCGGCTCTGGTCGAGTCGGAAGGGATAGGCCGAAGGGCAAGCGAGGCTCCAAAGCACGAAGGGTTCTCGGAACAGAAAGAGCCTCACCCTCACATCGTCCTGGTTCCTTAGCCTGCGCAACAAGATGCGGCCTGCAGACAAGATTCTCAGGACAATTGGCAAAAGAAGCCTTGGACTGATGTGTCGGACTTCTAGCGAGGTTCGACGATTCAGCACGGCGGGCGGATCGATCGGCTTTTGTCCTTTCGGACAGGGTCTAGTTGGATTCTCTCGAAGCACAGGGCGCCGGAGGCACCTGTCTGTCCACAAGTGAATACAAAGACATGGGGAGACTGATGGCGACGATTTCGTCTCTTCAATGTGTGTTCCTTGGTCCATCATGTTGGGACCTGCACGCAAAAGTGCAACCTTTCGCTCACCAGGGTTTGGTGTATGCGTAACTGTCCAACTGGCACCTTGCTGCACGCGGAAGTAATTCTCGCACTCAGCCTATGCTCCCCCACAACCAGTCCACCGCAAGCAAATCGATTCAGTCGGAATTAAACAGCCTTGTCCAATCCATGTGTCGCAAGACAGGTTCGCGCGGGCGAGTGTCATCTGACATCTGCCTACCAGGTGCATTGATAGAGTTTTCCTAGAGGAGACCGAACAAGGCCTTCGCCGTGTCAACAGAAGCCCCGACGATGTTCCCCATTGCGACTTGAGCACAGACGCTGGCAGATCTGGCAGATTCAACTGCAAAGGATGATACAGGAAATGGCGAGGAGCTGCTGAGCTTCGCATGCTTCGCTTGCACAAAACGGGTTGAAGCATGGCCTCTTCAGCCCCTGGATCGACTGCACACAGCATCGGTTCAGGAGGCGCCAACTCTGTGAGACTCTGGATCAAGCTCACAAAAAGCTGCAGAGCATACTGTAACCATGCTCGCAGAATCTGACCTTGATGGCCGGCGTGCTGCCTAGAAAACTCACTGCGAAGTATCACAGCATCTACATCGCTTGCTAGACCTCTCCACCGTGCACAGCTGGCACCAAAGCTGTAGCGGCACGAGCAATCTTCTTACATGTCCGGCTTCTCCACCGACGTCTCATTCGTCTCTGGATTCCTGGTCCGAGATCAAGTCTGTGAATGTTGCGGTATTCGTTCTGCACAACTATCATGCTTTCTGTCCCAGATTTGAAACCGGGTCAAATCTCGAAGCCTCGAAACCAGAGTAAGCTGCCTAGTTCATCCGAATCTGAAGCCTTGAGCAGGATTGGGGTTGGCTGTATCAAAAGGCACATTCCAGCAGCGGTCCAGTAGAAGAAGACACTCGGATCTCGTCTTGATTGCTGCCTTACCCATGGTTCTGGAGGTTCCACCTCAGGCTGTGAGTGGTGCACACGGCTGTTGCAGGCAAGGCTGCAGCAGACTGCCTGCGTCTCGTTGGTAGCCATGTTGATGTAGTAGAAAACGCCCGCCTGGCGTGACACGGCATTGGTGGAGAACCGCCAGATTCTGACAAACAAGCCTGTCTGGTCGATTCCTTCCTTTTCCAAGCCAACCGAACCTGCTTGCGCGCTGGCAACTTCGATTATGCTGATAATTGCATACGCCTTGTCCTGTGCCGTTGATGCGGCTGGCGGTTGCCCACTTTGCTCGGCTAGCCGCGGTCTGGCCAGAACTCAAGTTCGCTTGGCACGAGCCCAATGCTTACTCCATCACGAACACCGCACACTCAACAACACTGGTGGAAATGGGCTGCCACTCTATTGGACAACGCTAGCAGCGGAAGTGCGCCTCTTTGCCTCCGGTTCTTGAACTTGGGTCTGCTCTTTTGGAGGTTCTTTTGGAGCCTTCCACTTGCCCCAGGCATCGTCGTCTGACTCAGCCTCTTCCTCTTTGGGTTGCGACCACTTGTCGTTCGAACTCCATGGTGTGCTATGAGACCATCTCGAGGACCAGGACGTCTTCCAATGGTCTGTCTCTTGCCAACCTGAGGAGGAGGAGGAGGAGCCCCAGGTCTGATGGCCAGCCTGGCTCGCCTTGCAAGCTGCGTGGTGCTGTATCCCATGCATTCCAACGACTGAAGACTGTGCACGAAAAACTTCAAGCAGCAGAGCCTGTCGGTTGTTCTTGGCTTGGAACTCATGCGCTTCAGCTTCCAGAATCTTTGAAGCATTGGCGGGAGCATCGCGGGAAAGCAGAAGCTTTGTTGATGCCTCATATTGCCTGAAAAACAAAAATATCCGAATGTTCATCTTCACATGCGCAACTGAGCTTCTCGCTTGAAGATCATCTTCAAGCCAGTATGCTGCCTGCGAGAGTGAGCCAGTTCGCCTACTGTCCTACACAGACATACAGACAGCATACTTACCTTCGGTCTTTTGGAGTGCAAAGAAC